GGATTCGTGTATGTTTGAAAAAAATTTAGAGAGAGACAGAAAATAAAAATTCTATTTTCTTTAATTTATACGAATTTTCCAAGTGTGTTGCTTTTGCTATGATGATATGTTTTGGGTATCAATGGTCTTCAATGATTTTTGTCCTGAAGCTTGATGGTTTTTCACGCCAAAAGTCTGTCACTTTGATAATTTTTCCGATGTATGTGTTCTATTTGTTCAAGTCTTTTACTTTTTTTTTTTTTTTTTTTTTGGGGGGGTTATGACATAAGTATCCAATTGTTCTATTTTAAATATTGATCTTTGTGACAGACTTTGCTTAATGCTTTGTTGTATAATCATCGATCTCTAGAGTTTATTTTGTCACTTCTAATTCCACTTGTTGTTTGTTTGTCGATCCCTTCGATTAGACTTTGAATTACACTTGCATTATGTAATTGCCAATTTATCTTCTTAAGCACTTTGTTGCTTATTTTTGTTCCAAAAATGTTGCTAGACCAGTTTCTTTTACTACGTCGATTTTCGAGTATTTCTGAAAACTTGTTTTTCTTTCTTTCAGTTATTTCTTACAACTGTATTACATCAGGGAAGTATTCTTAAATACTATTCTTGTTTTAAAATCTTTTAGTGCTTCGTCCTTAAACTTTATCTAACTAATTGTCTCGGCTTTTTCTTCTTAAGCTTCGACTTTTACGTAAAGAGTTGGAGAAGCTAAAAAAAAAGGCTTATTTAAGGAATCGTTCAGTCCATGGGCATTACCTATAGTGTTGGTGCCGAAAAAAAATGGAAATTTGAGAATGTGCGTCGATTATAGGCGTTTGAACAAAGTTACAAAAAAAGATACATACCCTATCCCACACATCGACGATCTTTTGGAAGCTTTCAGCGGTGCTCAATGGTTTAGTAGCTTGGACCTTGCCAGTGGCTACTAGCAGGTCCAAATGAACGAAAAAGACTGTGAAAAAATGGCATTTGTTACAAAATATGGAACCTTCGAATTTATGGTCATACCTTTCAGTTTCTGTAACGCCCCGGCGACATTTCAGAGACTGATAGATGAATTCTTGGTCCTTTTGTTGGTAAATTCGTATAAATTAAAGAAAATAGAATTTTTATTTTCTGTCTCTCTCTAAATTTTTTTCAAACATACACGAATCC